AGTACCAAAGATCCTCACAACTGATTGCCAAGTTATCTGCAAATAATTCTGATAAGGAACCAAGGAATGCAGCACTGCATTGTCACCTGACAGCTCTCAGTTCACAGCCTGAATTGCTGCCTTCAGCTGTCATCTCCACACTCACTTTTGCCTCCCTTTTTTCCAAGGAATTTGAAATCCCCAAATCCATTGGTTCCTGCAGAACCAAGCAGCAGCAGTACTGGCTTGAACAGCAGCTTTCCTCATTGCCAGCACAAGTTAGAGATACCCAGCCCCTGTGAGCAAGGGCCAACCTCCCTTCTCTCTTCCCTCTTTCTGCTTCCCACCCCCCACCTGGTGCAATATGAAGCGCAGAGTCGAGCAGCCTACACAAGGACAGGAGAGCCCATGGGGAAAGGGATGGGACCTGTTACCCCCAGAAAAGCAGACACCAGGACACAACTCATGATAACCCCCCAAAAAAGGCTAAGCAGCCAAATAATGGAACAGTATTTTGAAGGGATGGAGAGAATTAACTCCAAAATAGCCATGGCAGACGTAGACAAGCTTTATGAGGTGGGCCAGAACTGTCAGCTCTTTCAGGAGTACAAAAGCTTTGCGATTAAGTGACCTGGCAATTAACTGCATCCATACCAACACCAACACTTGGGCCAGGCTCCCTCGGGACAGGCGTGAGCCCCAGCACCAAAGACAAGATGTGGCTACAGGAGCGTGCAGGTGCCCAGCCTTGAACACCACAAAAGAACCATTCCTGAGTCAGCACTTCACAGGACAAAATCTATTGCTTTATACAAGAGTATGGCCTGCAGAGTTGCACAAGATCACTAGCCGAGAGAAAGCCACCATTCAAAAACATAACATCAAGCTTACGCTTTATGTCTTTAAAATCTATTGCTGCATCAGCATCTTTGCTAATAAGGATTTCAATGTAGATATGCAGTTACGTCCATTTGAATACATGGCACACACGCTGTACGCAATCTGTTCACAAAATTGTTTCTGGCTGGTTACTGGCTAACTAAATTCCACCTAGAAATGAATCCACATCTTTAGTTTGTCAAATAATTTCCACCGCAGGTCCAGAGTGCGGGTAAAATCCTACACTCTACTGAAAGAATTGCTGAAATCACTCACTGCCTATGGGACGTCATCCTGATACGTCTTTTACTTGAACACACGAAACTGTAAACCAGTACTTCAAGAAAAGGCAGCCAGCTCGTGTTCAACGTGGTGTTCACCCTCACAACATGGTAAGGGTGCAAGTATTGGATTTTACTTACAGAGAAGAGAAAAAGAAACAGAGGAAATTGAGGAACGTGCCAAATGCAAGGAAGTTTATTCTCATGTGTTCACAGCAGGATAATCTCCTGCTGCTCAGAAATACTCCGTGACAGGTTTACTATAATCTCTGAATGAAGATGGACGTTTTTGTGCACTTAGGTAGCCTATCTGGATTTTCACTTTTCATTTACTGGAAAAAATCTGATCCTGCTTCCGGAATGAAAGCCTCCCCTGGGGTTAAACATTCACACGGAGATGATTCCTGAACGCCAGCTGCTGCATAGAGCTTCAATTACATAAGTTTTATAAAGGTCAAATCTGGACTTCTGTAAGGCCTTTGACACAGTCCCCATGGCATTCTTCTCTCTAAACTGGAGAGGTGTGGATTTAATCAGCGGACTGCTCAGTAGACAAGGAATTGGATGGCCAGTCACATCCAGAGAGTAGTGGTAACAGCTCCAGATGGAGCTCAGTGATGAGTGGTGTCCCTCAGGTGTCTGTACTGAGACCAATATTGTTTAGTATCTTCACCAGCGACACGGACAATGGGATCGAGTGCTCCCTCAGCAAGTTTGCAGATGACACCAAGATGCATGGTGTGGTTGACACGCCTGAGGGACAGGATACTATCCAGAGGAAGCTGGACAGGCTCCAGAGGTAGGCCTATGCAAACCTCAGGAGGTTACACAAGGCCAAGGGCAAAGCCCTGCACATGGGTTGGGACTACCCTGGCACCAACACAGGCTGGGGATGAAGGGATTGAGAGCAAACCTGTGGACAAGGACTTGGGGTGCTGGTGGATGAAAAGCTGGACAGGACCCAGAAGTGTGCGCTCACAGTCCAGAAAGCCAAACATGACCAGCAGGGCGAGAGAAGTGATTCTCCCCCTCTGCTCCTCTGAAACCCCACCTGGAGTACTGCATCCAGCTCTGCAGACTCTGACACCCCACCTGGAGTACTGCATCCAGCTCTGCAGACTCTGACACCCCACCTGGAGTACTGCATCCAGCCCTGCAGCCTCTGACACAAGGACACAAACCTGTGGGAGCAAGTCCAGAGGAAGGCCACGAAGATGATCAGAGATCGCAGTCCCTATGGAGACAGGCTAAGAGTTGGGCTTGTTCAGCCTGGAGAAGGCTCCAGGGAGACCTTATTGCAGTGTTTCAATACTTGAAGGTGGCTTATAAGAAAGATGGGGACAAACTGTTTAGCAGGGCCAGCAGCAACAGGACAAGGCACAATGGTTTTAAACTAAATGAGGGTACACTCAGACTAGATAAGACGGAGAACTTTTTTATGATGAGGGTGGTGAAACACTGGCACAGGTTCCCCAGAGAGGTGGCAGATGTGCCATCCCTGGAAACATTCAACGCCAGGTTGGACAGGGCTGTGAGCAACCTGCTCTAGCCGAAGATGTTCCTGCTTATTGCAGTGGGGGATGGATTAAATGGCATTTAAAGGTCACTTCCGACCCAAACCATTCTGTGATTCTCTGTTTCTTAACAATGCTGAAGCCAATTTACAGACATGAAAACTAACCCAAGAGATTAAACACAGACAAGTCAACCTGCCTAATTTCAAGTCTGTTATTTATGATTACATATGTATTGTGCCTGTGCTCTGTGGTCTATGAAACAGCCTTTGCAGTTTACAAAAGCAAGCAATGCTATTTACTAGTTAACATGTAGTTTCCATCTCTATGGATGTTAACCTGAAATTAAGTCAACACAAAAGGAATCAAGTATTTTCAGAGGCAACACAAGCCTGAGACTCCTGACAGCTGCCGTGCTTTTGCAGAATTTTAAGACATATACATACATTTTTTCCCTTCCACTACTGCTGAAGTTATGCATATAAATGGGAGAAATCAACTTAGGAAAAAGCATGGCTTTAACTGTGATGGATATCGATTTGTTATGACAGATTGATCTAATTCAGAAACAAGTTAGCAAATACAGGTTGCATACTTCAAGCACTCCAGTACCAGCACTCCCATCTCTGCTGCTTTAAATTGGAGAGAGCTGGCAGAGCAGACCTTCACCTCGCTCAGCAGACACCTCGGAGCAGGCAGAGGCAACCAGGAGCTCCTGCACTGGGCATTCCTCTATGTAGCAAACAAAACTCTTCAAGCATTAGACAAAGCCAATGACCCTACTCCACTGTGTGCATCAAGATACCAGAAAGAGCGTGGCAGAACACCTGAAAAGCAAGTTAGTTGCTGTACTTGCAATGAAGTAAGTCTCAATCATCCTTTAGTTCCCCACTCCCCAGCTACTGGTACTGAACCCCATCAGGCCCATGAGGGCTTCCGGTCCACTCACAGAATTCCACAGAAATAGGCAATATCGAGTGATCTAGGAGAATAAATCTCAAAAGGGCACATGATCCAGGTGCATCACAGTCCTGACACTGCCCAAATGGTCTCAAAATAGCACAGAGCAATTTGAAAAGCACCAGACAAGGATGTTGGGTGGAACTTGAATTTAACAGCAGGCATTAAAGGCTGAGAAATGTGATTTTTAAAGTGAAGCTGCATTTTTAAATAACCAGCAGTAACAAAAACAAGGGAACCATCTCAATTATCACCAACGCACAGACCCAAAACAACCATGGATGCATAATTGTGGCTCAAAGATATGAACAGTTTGGGAAATGTATTATGTGGAAACTTGATACTTGTGGTTGAATAGGATTTGTTTTCAGAGATGATGAGGACATCTTCAGTGCAGTTGCTAGCATCTACTAGAGTTATCCTCTGTGCCTTGGGAACCTTCTGAACTCCAGACTAATCTTCAAAACCTGACATTCAAGCTTGTTTTCAAAAGAATTACCTCTCCAGTCTCAGATGAAAAAAATAAACCCAGCCCCTCTTAACTCTTTTGCCAACTATGCCATACCATAGCAATACTGAAACACTCTTGTGCTGTCTTCAGTTGTAGTCTACACATGTTAATTACAGCATAGTTACCAACCACCATGCGACCTCCAACGATCCTCAGAAGGAAGAAGGTAATTGTATGTGCAGAGCCACACGCAGAGATTGTAGTCTGCCAGGGAAGAAGAATAAGCATAAAGACTCACCCATTTCGGAAGTACAGGGCAATTTTTGCATCACATAATAGGTATCTGATGGAACACTAAAACAGGGCTGTGCTGGGGAGATGTCTAAGCATAAAACCTCTCTGCAGAGAGAAACACTTCTTAAAGGACACACACTAACCTCTAGAAGTTTTGTTACAGTCTCCTCATGTTGGCTGGCACTCTGTCCAGCCTCACAAGGCATCATTCATTTTTGGGTTTTAACATCCCCTCTTAGCATGTGGTACTGGCTTATTTTGAATGCAGGATTTGGGACTTGAAGCACCACCGTTGTAATTATACCTATCTATTTCTTTAACCAATGGAAGATTGCTGCAATCTTCCAGGTGTACCTCCCTGAGATATACTTACCAGGAGAGAATGAAGCTCCTTACAAGGTTGTTGGGTATTTTCATGGAGGAAATATGCCCTAAATAATGCCAGTTTCACAGTTCTCATACACTTAAAAATGAGATGGTTGGAATCCTGTGTTCCTCTTTGGTTGAATACATTCATATCTTTGCTATGAAACACATGGCTGTATCCACTGCTTCTTTATGAGCCTGCTATAAACCACTGACATGACGGTGCAAAACAGTACTTACTGTTTTACCAAGAAGTAATTCCTTCAGACGTAAAGATGTGACATAAAATCTTTTATTATATTGAGCAATTTCATTAAAGTTTCTGTAAAGAAAGCAAAATACTGCATGAAATACAAAAGCATTTAAAACATGCCAGGGAATTGTAGTGGGAAGGTAAGAAATTATGCAAGCCACAGGCCTGTACTACACATTAAAATTGTTGGCTGAGACATGAAACAACCACAGAAACATTTTTATATAATATAAGAGATATTTTTCAAGAATTCCAGGCAAACATGTACTCCTTTCTGATTAATATTCGCTACTTTAAAAAAATGCAAATACACCAAACAAAACCCATAAAAAGGCATAAGTCATTTCTAATGACTGAAATACATCATTCCCGGGTAGAACTCAAGCACCACAGTTCCTTCCACAGAGCACCTCCAAATAAAGCACAGCTGAGAATTGCCTGAGAGATTAAACACCAGGAAAGCTCTACACGGCAGAGATCCCCGCTTTCAGGATGCTACCTTTTCCTGCTTTTGAGGGAGCTCTTGTGAACTCTCACTCTCTTCTGCACAGAAGAGGCAATCTTCATAGACGCCTTCTTTGTGAGGGCCCTTTCAGCAGCACTGGGTTTCCATAGCAGCAGCTGCGCATCCTCTCCGCCCGTCAGCAGAGACTCATCTGTCAGGTTCCAGCAGAAAGAGCGAACAGGAGCAGAGTGTCCTCTGCAAAGGGTACCCACCAGGCTCAGGCCATCGGTGCTGCAGCTCATGAGGTGAACGTTTCCTCTGGATGTTCCCCCAATAAGGAAGAGTTTGTCTGCCTTTTCGTGGTACAAACCACCTAACAGGTAATGTAAGCTGTCATTTTCAGGATGGACTGCCTCTCTGACATCCACAACATGCAATAGTGTTATTGGGTCTTCAGTATCTAGCTGAGCCATGTCCCACCAACAAAATCCCTCATCATGTGTCACGCAGTAGACCTGTTTATAATCTTTCCCAGACCAGCCAATAAAACTTACTGATGAATCTGAATTGCAAGTTGATATCAAAGCATCATCTTCATTATCCTTGTTAATGTCAAACACATTAACCAACCCATCGGTTGACCCAGAAACTACCAAATTGGGTTTGATAGGATGAAAGCAAATTTTAGTGATATCATCACTGTGACTTTCAGAGTAGACTCCCAAGGGTTCTTTACTTGTGCTGGCACAGTTCGCAACACCTCTTGCATCCCAAAACACCAGAAATGTGTCCTTTTCGACTTTTTCTGTTCCAGCACAAAGTATGGTATCACTGCAGTTGACATCAAAACTGATGAGAACATTGGAAGGATAGCCATGGAATACCTGCACAGCTTTCTGAGTTGATAAACGAATATCCCAACACTTCACTGTACCATCACTGCATGCTGAAAACACTGTGCTGTCACATGTGTGTGCAAATCGGACTCCATTAAGTATCCCAGGATGGTTACTGTACTCCCGCAGGAAGCTTAATGTTTCCCTGTTATAGACCCTAATTGACTTATTGGAACATGAAACTGCCACAAAGCGACTGCTTTCGGATTGAGCTGGTTTGGAAACGTCTATATCCAGCAAGTAAGCAGGCTCCTCAAGTAGCATAGAACGTTTTGCTATGCTTAGACTAGCAAGCTGCTCCTCAATCTTCTCCACTGCTGTCATCTCAAATGCTGTTCCTAATGTTGTCAAAAACCTGTGATAAATACAAACCAAGGTGAGTTTTAATTATAGCATTCTTAAATAACACTAGCTTTAAAAACGTGTAAAAAAGCATCCTGCACAGAAACGATGTGTGCAGTTAAAACTTAATTATCCTGATGTCCTACACACTACCACTTCATTTACAGAACACAGAACTGGAAAGGGCTCCTCAAGTTAAGGAGTTCAGATTCTTATGACTTGTAAGCACTGTATCATAAGCCCCCCGTGAAAGATCCAATAGTCTGTCTGCAATTCCTGTGAAAGCCACTTCACTAAATTCGCTTTTTTTTCATAAAGCAATGTTCCCCACAACTGGAAAGAAAATGAAGTCATCACCACGACCTGAGGAGGTGTCCTAAGAAGCTGCTAGAGGCACAGCCTACAAATAGCTGCTTCAATACAACTGCAGGAGACTTCTTGTGAGAACTTTTCTGCTGAGGGATGTGCAAAGGGTAGGCAGACAATGAGACCAAAATTACATACAACTACTGCCTGAAATGGCCAGATGAGATAAATTTTACAAGTATTTAGGTGTCCAATGACGCACATGAACCCCTGTCAGCATACCACAGACCACCTAAACAGGCCACATGACATCAGTGGAATTCACTGGAGTTAAGCACCTTTGCCTTTTTCATCAATTCTCCTAAGGCCCTAAATGGTTTTTGAGCCTCCTACAAAACCACAAAATGCTGGCTCTTTGTGCAACTGATAAAAATCTCCCCTTCAGAGGCAATTCTCCTCTAGCACAATTGAACCCTCCTAGACACCCCCCCCCCCAAAAAAGAGAGAGTTCTCTCCTATAACACAAAGGCAAATTCAATTCTTTGACTGCAGTAAAGGCTTTCAGCAATTCAGAGTAAAAAAAAAAAATACTGAACAATTTCAATTTGAAAAAGATATTTGCATTCATAAACAATACATGGTTTTAGTGAGTTCACAAGCTACAACCATTTTGAAAAGGAAGCTGCAGTGGAGTACCTTAAGTAAGCACAATCATCCACCTGAATGACCCCTGTTAAAATTAAAGGCTCAATTAGATGACTCTCTTGTGTTAAACCCCCTCCCCCTGAACACTGAGGGAACCACAGCATGTTCTAGGGGGTCAACACCCCCATGACTTCCCACTGGTACAGACTGCTATGACAAAACTGCATTCTGCTGTTTGGTTGATTTTTTTCTTTGAGGTGCTGCTTGTACTTTCAGGGTTTTGCTTTCCCTCCTCCCATTTGGTACATATAAATATTCACAACAGCGTGTGACAAACGAGCAAATTCTTAAAAACAGCTTAAGTAGGCACACTCAATTCCCAAGTCACAAATAATCTCACTAAGCTATTTTCTTCAGTAACATCCTGACAACGAGGTCCTCAGGTTAATCTTTAAATCAAGGCAACCTTTCAGAGCACATCTACAAGTAATTTTTGCCATAAAACGCAGACATCCTGTGGAAACTCCTTTCCCCTCTGAAGAGAAGTTCAGCATGTTTTCTGGCATTAGCCTGCACAGAACCCTACCCACAGAGCTTGCTCCTTACTTGCTTTTCTGGGTATGTCCTCAAATGGAACAAGCTTTTACTAGAACTATTACATAAAGCAAACTGTTCTGAAAGACCTTGTGCCACACTGCTTAAGCACAAAACTACTGAACTCCCATGCAAAATAGTAATTTAAATTTAAGAAATAAAATACTTTAATATTATCTATAAGAACAACCTCTACTTAATCCAATTTACTGAAGAATTGCAACGGAAGCTTCAATTTAAATAGTATCTCAAAAGCATGTGCTTGAAGGTGGAGAAAGAAGTCTTCATAAACCAGCTATCCCGTAGTGATAGTTACTAAAAAAAAAAAAAAAAATGGGTTCTCTCTGCAAACTTTTTGTGAGAAAAATGTACTTTTCCAGACTGACCTGAATTTCAAGCTCTAATATTCAGACTTTTTATACTCAAAAGGCCAAGTAAACTCAAACAGACGTGTTCCTGACAAATGTCATCCATTTGGAAAGCAAGCTGCACTTGTTTAAATATTACTGACTTTGATAGAGAATATTATTCAATAAGCTGTTTCTGCAACACTCATGTCGGAGCTTTTACTGCTGGGGAGAGGAAGGGAGGGAACTCTGCAAGTACCCAGAAGTTGTAAAAAGCCAGAGCCTGCAAAAGCATGTTCATTCAGATTTAATAATATTTTCTGGGAAATAAAATTAGCCCTGGATAGCTCTTATGCTTTTACCCCTGAATGACATCAGTACAGCTATTCTGAAATACCAGAAAATGCTGTTCATGTTTCCAGACAGATGTTCAATTTATACCATTAGGAAGCTGGAGGGTACAGTTTTCAATTCAATACAATTTTCAATGCTCAAAACTCAGTAAAATGTCTGCTCCAGTAAGAAAGTCTTCAGATTCCTATGAAATTGTGATTGAAGGTTATATAAACAATTCATGCTCAAACTTCAGGGTGTAGCTGCCAGCCCTTCCTTTTCAGGAGGGGAAGTCACTGTTGTATTTTGATGGGAAAATTTAAATGGCAGGAATAGGATCTGTGTTAAACTTATGAGACAAATAGGAAACAATGGTCTTCCAAACACAATAGAAGATAACTAAGCATTGGACTGCAGCCACTTACAAAGCACATAGTGCTCTGCACCACAGAAGCGAAGCACTTTTAGTTGAGCACTCCTTAACTTCAACAACTGTTTTGTTTCTGCCACAAAGAACCCTTTGAAACCTGACATATTTTGGATATAGCACAACAGCCCATTGCAATGATCACTAATGAAAACTTCATGTTAACGTGATAAACTGGCTGACATAAAGACTCTGGAGGGCACAGACAGCTTGCTCTTGAACTGCTCCAGTCTCAGAAGAGATCACACAGAGCACTGGCCAAAAACCTTTTCTTTCCCCAAGTTACCTCCTTTGCTCAGAATGTGAGGCAGTTGATTAAATTCAGGTACTTTGCTTATTCCAGCTCACAGCAGCCTGCGGTCTTAATCTAGTCTCAACACAGACAAAACCCAGGTGATAAGGTGCCAAGAAGACACTACCACTGGGATTACACATATATCTGGCTGAAGGTATTTGGCTACCGCCAGTCACTTGTGTTTGAAACAGGAGTGCGGTCCCATCCTCAGAGATCATCATTCCTTGTATGTAACAGCTGCATCTCATCTGCGTTCACATCTGCACCCCATGAGCAAGGCAAAGCCACCTTTTACAAATTAACCCAGAAGCTTCTGTGTTACTGTATCTAGTCCTCCGGGGCTACATTCACCTGATCTTTTCTATGAACTAACTTTATGCAAGCCCTGTGCATCTCCTTGATAGCACAACAAGCAGGAACAACAAGCTTCTTGAAGGACACTCAAAACTCATTACACTTCAGTGTGAATACAGTAGTCTAAAATAACCTAAAATATTTTGACCCCCAAGGGTCCTTTTAAAAAGAAAGAAGCTTGATTTTTCAGAATAGAAGGCATGATGTGGAAGAGATGCCAAAGAGGTGGGACAGGATTTTCAGATGCTTTGTTACACGTTTCTCAGTAGTTGAGCATGGAAACAACCACACAGCATGACTAGAAGCAGGGGTGACAAAAGCTGCCCTATTCAATGACAGACAAATGAGAGGTAAGCACTCACCTGCACAAACTCAAGACTCAATGTTGTCCCAGCATATAGCACTGTGCTCTTTGTGCAGCGTTCCAAATGCTGCAATCTCAACTCAAGCCAACAGACTCATCAGTCCTCTTCAATCCAAAGGTTTAAAAGAAAAAAAAAATGAGCAATTTGTAAGTTATTTTCCTTCTCGTGTTACTGGTGTACACAATATGCTGCCAGATTGCATGGCTCTCATTTCCAAAAGGGAATGTCAGCTGAACAACATACAGAAACACAAAATTACCTCTCTGAAAATTACCATTGAAAATGTGGAAGAAATGGAACTTTCTCAAAGATTTAATCAGTAACATGAGAGTAACTCATGAGTAGGAGGGTAGAAACACTAATAAAAATGAAAACAACCTGTAGTTTTGGCAATCTTCTCTGCAGAGGTCAAATACCAAAAATAGCAAGGGATTTGAACAGCAGTAGATGAAATCTTGCACTGTTCTTTCCTACTATAAACAATACAAACAGACCCTCCCTTCATTTTCACTATTATTAAAAGTTCAAGAACAAACCTGGAGCTCTGGGCAGTGGAAAGCCGTTCATGCGTACATTACATGTGGTTTGCGTTTTAAAACAAACATGCAAAGTGCGAGGTTGGCTGAGGAGAACGCATTAGTACACTGCACTTCACTAATGCAAAAACGCCCATAGAGACCTCTCCTCACTGGCACCACTTCCCAACAGAAGATGGATCAGCCAAATGATCTAAGCACTGAGGAGAAGCACAGAACACTCATTAGGCATGCGGAATTTCTGCAGGATACAAACTCCTATAGCTGATTTTGTCTTCTACCAAGACAGAGAGATATGGTGTTTTTCCAGTATTCCCACAAAGCCATTTTAAGGCAAAAAGAATAGCATTTAGTCTATCGAACAGGAATAGAATGTGTGAGAGGCTACACTGAGGTGCACTGACAAGATGTAAACTGCCAACAGAATTATTTCATCCCTTCAAATCATGACATCTAGTTTCCAAGTGTAATGCACAACTCCACCTGATTTTACATTTGCATAAGAGAGAAAAATATTTATCAAGAAAGGATGAAAAAGACAAAAACACTGCCACAAAGTGTATGGGAAAAGCAGAAAAAACAGGTCCATCAAACTGTCTGCCTTCCATGAAATCAATTCCTGCCCTCCCGCCAGTATGGACCTTGGGAATACAATCCTGTTCAGCAATGGAGAGAAGCGCTGTAAGGAGAGACAGAGAACCCAGTAAATGGCTCTAAATAACAGTATTGGTTAGAGGGAAAAAAATAAGTCAGAGCTAGGAGAGAGCAAAGTTGGAAATTCACAGGTGCCCAGTGCTTTGGGGGTCAACAATTTAAAAATCAAAAAGAAACTACTTCTGTGTGCTCATTTTTGGGGCATAAGCAGGTATTCATGTCAATACAGAAACAAAACCTCTTTTTGAATATTATACCAGACATCCATGGAGAGAGAACACAAAAACAACTTTTGGATTTGACTAAGTGCAGTTTTAAATGCATAAATCATAAAAGCCATACATTAAATATTTTAATCAAAAGAAAATTTTAAGCATTGGGTTTTGGTGTAATACTTTGCATTTCAAGTAGAAAGACCTTTCTACTTTCTACTCCACACTGTGGAGGTAGGCAAGATTCAGAAAATTTAGTCATGACTTCAGGTCCAAGTTGCCACAAATTAACGTTCAAGCTTGAGTAACCAAAAGCCCACCGGTATAAATTCATGAACCAAAGAGATGGTAAAGAGCTGCAAAGGACCCAGACAACAAGCCACCCTAAACAAACCAATGTACAATTTAAAAACTCAAGCCAGAAAACACCATATAAAGCTATAAAAATGCTCAAGTTACTAATTTTGCCTTCAAATTTAAGCCAAAATTATTAAAATCTGATGCCCAGATAGCTAAACTACCTTCTCTTGAGCAGTTTAGGAGACCCTAACATGAAACATGGTTTCTGAATACCCTAAGAAGCATTATTTCATCATTAGTTCAAACACTTTTGAGAATTTTCATTTTTTTATCTTCTCTTTTCATCCATTTCCATTCTAATGACACAGACCTACTAACAGAGGAGCAGCAAAGTCAGTTCTGTCACGCTGATGACATGAGCAGATGGAGCCAACTGAGATCTGTCTCGCGAGGAGGCGGCTTCCTAGTAGTGCCCTCACCAGGCAGAGGATGTTACTGCATCCGGGTGTTGAGGTGGTCATTCAAT